TGTCATATGACCACGAGGTATGTTCGGGCATGCCACATGGATGATTCATACCAAGTTTGGTGTATTTTAGCCCACCTCTGTCAGCGTGCCCCAGGGCAGCTGTGGCTACAGTGTAGTTTGCCATCATCAGTGTGTGAATGTGAGTGTGAATGGGTGAATGTCTGTTAGTGTAAAGCGCTTTGGGGTCCGGAGGGACTTGAAAAGCGCTCTATAAGTTCAGTCCATTTACCATTTACCATTTAATCCTTGTATCAGTGATACTGAACAGATGTTTAGCAGGTAGAACTGTTTCTACTGATGTATTTTATTGTGTAGAGATTGTAATTAGAATTGATTGTTACTGTTTTTATGACTTTGTACAGTAATTGTGTTTAGAGCTTTTATGGATTATTACTGTATGTTTTGGTTTTAGATTACATTTTGTTGTTCAGGGACTGCAGAAGGAAATGAGCTTAAGCTAAATCTGGTGCAAAGCATCTTTTTAATGTTTTATTTGCACATTGTCCCTGTTTAAATAAAGGAATTATTTTTAAAAATAGATAAATAATCAATTTTGGCCCCTGAGCAGATTTTGTTGTGATTTTGTTGAGTGATAAACGTCCACAGGTTCTTGGACTAACTTCATATTTCAGTTGAACATGAGATCTTGACTCACTTTTGATGGATTTTTTCCTTTTAGGATCATCCAGCTGACAGAAGGTCATCTTGTTAACTGTAAATAAAAACAAAGTACCAGTGATAATATGTTTGATAAAGCAGATTTGAACTGGTCCGGCTCCACACTCACTTGTCGTGGCCACCTTCACTTGTTCATCGTTACCGAACTCGCTCAGGTGCTGCTTCATCTCAGACACAGCTTTGGTCACGGGGCCGAAGCTGAAGTAGGGGTTGACAGAAACTGACGGCAGCTCCTCGGCCTCGGTCTGGGCTATCAGCATGTGGTAACTCTGAAGATGAAGCACGTGTTACCATGACGTCACCAAACACACCTTCAGGTTTCAGTTCCTGTTACCTGGATGAAGTGGATGTGGTCCTCGGTGCGGGACAGTTGGGTGATCTCGTTGTCTCTCCTCTTCAGGTCATTGATCTCGTGGGTCAGACGCTCCATGTGGCCCTCAGCGTTGTTGAGGGCCGCTCTCTTGTTGGACGATATCAGCTTGGTCATCTCCTGCTGCATCCTCTCAATGGAGCGCATCATGTCGCCGAACATCTTCTCACAGTCCTGCAGTGCCCTCTGGGCCGAGCTCTGCAGGGAGAAGGAGGGTTAGTGGGTGTGTCAGAGCTGGATGATGTCATGCTCTGGTCAAAGTTTACTGGTTGGTCTGATTGGTCAGATTGATGCTAACAAACCTTGAGTGCGTCCACTGCATGCTTTAGTTCTTCCATCTGCTTCAGGCGGTCATGAATCCTCTCCTGGATCTCAGCCTGAGTGGCCCCCAGTCGTTGCTGACAAACAAACAACAATTTTATTATTCATCACATGTGAAAAATTACCTGCTAACATTTACTAAATCAGCTCCAGGGTTCCTACACTGCAAAAACTGTCCACTTAACCAAGTTTTAAACTCTTATATCAGCCAAAAAGTCTTTTTGATCTTGTTTTCAGACTGATTTACTAAACAAGAACTGATTGTGTAAGAA